TCCTAACCAACAGGCCTCTCTTACTTTCATCTTGCAAGTCAAGCATCCTAACCAACAGGCCACTCTTACTTTCATCTTGCAAGTCAAGTGTCGTACCAACAGGCCTCTCTTACTTTCATCTTGCAAGTCAAGCGGCCTAACCAACAGGCCTCTCTTACTTTCATCTTGCAAGTCAAGCATCCTAACCAACAGGCCTCTCTTACTTTCATCTTGCAAGTCAAGTGTCGTAACAAACAGGCCTCTCTTACTTTCATCTTGCAAGTCAAGTGTCGTAACAAACAGGCCTCTCTTACTTTCATCTTGCAAGTCAAGCATCCTAACCAACAGGCCTCTCTTACTTTCATCTTGCAAGTCAAGCGTCCTAACCAACAGGCCTCTCTTACTTTCATCTTGCAAGTCAAGCGGCCTAACCAACAGGCCTCTCTTACTTTCATCTTGCAAGTCAAGCGGCCTAACCAACAGGCCTCTCTTACTTTCATCTTGCAAGTCAAGCGATCCTAACCAACAGGCCTCTCTTACTTTCATCTTGCAAGTCAAGTGTCGTAACAAACAGGCCTCTCTTTACTTTCATATGATAGCTATGTAGTAGTTAAAGTTTAAGTAAAATTAACATAAACCATTTTCACAAATCTTTGTTTTGCATAAAACCCTACAATAATAGTAGGAATTTGAACAGAAATATATAGGTGTTAACTTAAGGCTTAACCAAAAATCCATTTTCAGCCAGAATCAAAATTTTTTAAACATGGCCAAAGGCATATTATATTTTGGAGAAATATTAACATTAATCTGATCATCTTGATGATGCTGTCTTAAAATACTGGCTTTTCATTTATGTAATCCTTTGAATATGTGCATGACAGACTGACTGAGAATCACCATGGTGTAGTTCTAAAGGAAAATATAGCACCTCTCCTTTAATTTTTATAACCTATCACATCCGTGACGTCATTTGCCTAACTTGAAAAACTTTTAGTTATTACAAAAGGATTCATTGTTTAATAAAAACAATTGGCAAATATTACTTCATAAATGGAGAATTGACATACTAATTAATAGTTCAATTTTGAATTTTACCATTTCTTCGTAACTCCACGAGTAAAGAATTGGTATAGTAACTGATAGCTTGATTTTTAATTTTAATTTACAAAAACATTACCATTATCAACAAGTTAAGTAAAATAAGATCATAAACTTAAACTCAAGAGACTAAGTTTTCAAACAATAATAACTAATAACCCTAACTGTTACTCATTCTTTCTCCTCAAAACACTTTACTATTACTGCTGAGATGCAAAAACTTAAGTTTCTCGGATGACTTATTTTGCAATGTCTTCATGAAATAGAAGATAAATCACTTTACAAAAAAAGTTACTCTGAAAAAACAAAAACACGTAGAAATGAGTTCGTTGAACAGTTTAAAAACGTGATTAACCACTGAAATTCATTAAAATACCTTATGATACTTTTAATACAAACACAATTCTCTTCATAATGTGGAAACAAAGAATTATTGAGAAAGAAATTTAAATGAACAAAAGATGGTTTAAAATATTGTGGAAGGCAGTCCGTGGGACTTTACATCACAATTTGGATCAAATTTATCTTCACTTGCCCCCATAAGGGTTGCATTACTGTGATGTAGTACGTAAACTACCATCTTGAAGAAATATACTATACACCAGAGGAGGAAACCCACATCAGAAATTATGCGATCATGTCATTCTCACACTAAGTATCCAGTTGCATGGTTTGACCACGAGACAAGCAAAGTTTTGATTTACCATACATTCGTGGTATAACAATAAATCTTAAGTGATTCATTGAAAACACAAACAAATTCCCCAGCATCAAATGCTTTCCAGTTCACTATTCTACATGATCCTAACACACAAATAGAAAATTTAAACAATTAATCAAGGATACGGGAAACATTATTAAACAACATCATTTAATTTAGTACAATATTTTTAAACAGCCAACAACATAAGCTAAAGTGTCATACATTACATATAATCGTATCTTCGTCTACTACACACACGAGTCTACTGCATCCTGTGATTGTTTGTTTTTTCTACGAATACTAACAGGTGTTTACCTTACCTTTTTTTTAAAAATAAGTCAGAAAGAAACTATTGACACATTATATTGTTTAACTCTCCCTAACAGTATGTCAATAAATAAAAATAAAATAAAACTTAATGCAACCTTGAAAATTCTTCAAACAAATTACCAAAATAATACCATTATAATAAGAAAGAGGAGTTTCTTCAGTATGCACTACAGAAACTAAGTAATATAGCAATGGGTAACAAGCATATTTTTTTTAACTTTGCTGTTTTCTTCACAAAATACACTTCATTTCATGAAATGGGAGCACATACGAAGTGAAAGTGCCACTGGTGAGTTCATTGTCCTTTTCTAAGTTTGTACAACCTTGCAATGTTAACACACTCCTACAAATCCCAAATCAATTTGGCACCAAGTTAAATCTAATATTAGAGTTATAACTTTTTCCCTAACATGCGTGTGATACATCAAACTCTCCAGTTACAAAATGTGTGAACAAAGTCAGTTTTTTTATTTTCCAAAACAGACTTTTCATATACACACATTTAACAGTAACTGCATCACTAAAGGATACTCAACTTTTTTATTGCTTTCTAAAAATATTACCAATGTATAAGAGTAGAGCTTTAAGAGAAATATTTCATTTCATGCAAATTATTTCAAAAATTTCTTGGAAAAAATGAAAACCATGAGAAATTACAATAAAAAAAAAAATAAAAAAATTGAAAGTATCTCTTAAAATTGTTTGTAAGTTTCAAACCTTTATCAAGAATGTCTAAGATAATCAGCTGCTCATGGCTTTTAACCTCATTTCTTTGATTATAACTTTGTATGAAATTCGTAATGTCTTCTACTAGTGTTAATTCCATGCTTTTTTAAAATATTATACAAAGTTGACAAATCAATGTCGGTGATCTGTGGAAAAGTATCCCGGTCTTCTCTGACAAACGTCTGCAAGTCCTTCAATGTTACCCTGGTATTCTGTCGTTTGTACTGCACCAATAACTCTTCTTGTTTGGCTGATAGCTTGATGGATTGACTAGAGTTTCTTCGAGGTTTATGCGAAGTACAATTTGGTTGCTGGTTGCCAGTTCCATGAAGATTATATTTCAAATGCAGAGAAACAACAGACTTCACTAATTCTTCCGTCACATTTACTTCTCTTGCCACAGTTTTAGCTTCATTACCATTCACAAAAAAACTGTTGATTATCATCATGTATGTTTTCTCTGACACACCAACAGCTTTTGGAATATCATCATACATTTCAAAAAGACTGCTACCAAGATCTTGAGGAACCTTAGGTTTTATTCTTCTGTACCCTAGAAGTAAAACAAAAGAAACTGCCACATTGTTATGTATTTTCTAACTCAGCATTATGGGATACGATAATAAATTAGTGACACAATAAGTTACATGGTTTTGTGTTTCAAATGCTCATGTTTTTATCATGAAATTCCAAGTTCGCAGATTTAACTAGACCATATTGTTTTAGTACTTGGTGTAATGTTGACAGAGAGATGGAGTTGATGTTTGAAAAAACATTATGGTCTTTTAAAATGAAGTCCTTAAGGTCTCTGAGTGTTGCATATGGATTTTCTATTCTGTATTTGATCAAGTTTGCTTCTTGGTCTTCACTAAAGATTTTGCTGAGTCTTGTCTTTCTAGTCCTAATGAGACTATAAATATATCTATGAAGAATTTCTCGAGTTATTCCAGTCACGTTCAGAAATGTCTGAATCTTCATACCCCGTCTTATGATGTATTTGATGATACTATCGTGCAAGACCTTTGGAAAATCTTCATTTCCAAGTTCATCAAATCCTCCAGTCCAAGAAACTATAGAAAAAAAAAAACAACCGGCTTGTACTGATACGTACTTGGTACCACATGTTCAATATTAACTAATATACAATTAGTTTCATAATCAATTAAAAGCTAAAACCACTTCATTGAATTGTAAAATCAGCAGTAAACACATGTAGTATCTGAGAAAAAAGAAAAATATGTAAGTTTCTGAAGCATACACATAGCAATCTTGTGGAGGAAGGAATATTCATAAATTATCACAAAATATCTATATTCTAACATAAGGCCTAGAAACACATACAACCAGTTTGTTATGAATCACTGACACAAACAACATCACAACATACTGATGCAAATTGATAGCTTTTAACAAATAACTTTCACCATGTTTTTCTGGTCATTGGAATCTTTGCTACAAAGCACGAGGATCGCTCTGATTACTAAAACTTTGCGTTCTTTATTGGAAAGATTTGTCTCGTTAGAATTATCTTTCCAATTCTTTGTTTTTCCAGAGAAATCTGTAAGTAAACAGAGCAAGTATTAAAATCTGATAAAGAATAAGATGAAATGTTCAAAATTCAAGATATCGTAGATTTAATCACTTTTTACATGCACGCACTTCTTATCAGCAACAACGTTTACTAATAATTCTGAACCGTCACTAACTGAAATAAAGAGTGATAAAAAACAAACATCTTATTAAGTAACAAATATGATGGCTCAATTGAAGAATGAAGAAGTAATGTCGAATATTATTATGGTGAAAATTTCTCACAATTTTCTTGTCTGGTCTCGTGGCCAAAACTTTTAACAACTTGCTTGTCTGATGACTTGTTATCCAGCATACTATTCATGCAGAAGACGACAACGTATCAGAGGTACACCAGATGATGGTTCAATTTCAGATATAAAATAAGCAAGCATTGATTGCGAGAAACTTCCACGATCACCAGTTATAAATAGAAACAATAATATTACCTTCAACATTACAACATTTAAGTGATTAATATTCTACAGCCAGAAAATTATTTACAGTGTTTTGTCAAGTTATTGAACTGTAAATGAATACCACAACATTCTGAGAGCATTGTGCACACTAAATTTGAGATTTTTCCACTTGTTAAGTTATTCAGTAATCAATTTCTGACAAAAACGCCCTAAAACTAAGACACTTTGATTAGTCACGTAAAAAGAAAGAGACACAGTGACATGTTTACTTTTTTGCTTGAGTCACCAGTGAGAATTTTTTCTACTGAAGATAATCTAATACTCTATTAAACCTACTCAGTGTAGTTACCTTTTATTGTTTGATTAACACAAGTCACGTGCTGGTATACAACAGCAAGTTTCTAGACTTGGTTAAAAATACAAATTTAACAACACACATTTACAAAAAACCATTTCTGATACATACACACAAGTTAATCAAAATGAAAACTACATTATAACATTAAAGTAGCACATTTACTATACACCATGCCTTGCTCCTTCTAATCATACTTGGTGTTTATACATCTACAGTAGCTTCCTCCATATTATTTATGCTAGGAAGCTTTAGGTTGGTTTGTTTGTTTTGAATTTTCCACAAAGCTACACTATTGGCTATCTGCAATAGCCGTCTCTAAGACTAGTCAATACCACCCACTGTCAACTCTTTGGTTACTTTTTTAACAATGAATAGTGGGATTGACAGCAACATTATAACACCCTCATGGTTGAAAGAGTGAGCATATTCAGTGATGGAGATTCGAACCAGTGACCCACAGATTGCAAGTCAAGCACCCTAACCACCAGGCCATAGGGAAACTTTAGCAAAATAAACTTATAATCAAATTAACTGATGGGGATTTTGGAAATACACATAAGTAGTAGACTCTAAGGTTTAGTTTAAAATAGGAGATGAAAATGAAATATATTTGAATTGAGAGAGAGAGAGACACTTTATTTGATATGTTAACCATGATCATTGAATTCAAAACCAAAGCAGGGACTTTCCATAATAGTTGTATACACATTTGTATTCCACATTCAAATGGACACTTTGATGATGGGTCAAAATTGAGGGACATGTGAACCCCAGCATTCAGTTTTATAAAATTTCTTATACAACTCACAGTTCAATGTGTTATAGGATCAAAGAAATAATAATAGCAGCAAACATATAATCTTAGTATACTAAAAAATGATAAAATTACTACTCTTCCTAAAAGCATATAGCTATGAAAAATAGCAAAAATAATACTCTTTAAATATTAATAAATAGAAGGCATTGAAATACAACAATGATCCATTTCTTCATATTTGTGATGTATTTCTAATGCCCTTAGTTCTCTGTTAAATAATAAATCAGTGTACGATTATTTTAAATTTTTCTATTGAAAATAGAATGTATACGATTTACTTGATTTATCTGATTATTAAACCACACGTGGTTATCTTCTATAAATTAAGTCTTGCAAAAAAAGACTAAAATAATATCCACATGAAACACTTTTTTTTTCAATTTGTAGTATTTCAAAATAATAAAAAAAACATACAAAGGCTCATACTTCACTAAAATAATCCACATGACACAACTGATAAAATTTTCCTTCAGAAAAACTGCTTTCTTCACATCTCACCCATTTAAACACCTTAAATTTAGGTTATAATTGTGCTAGTTTTGATTGTTGGAATTTATCTCATTCCGGTTATATTTGCCCCCAAAACGTTACGTAATGGTATTTTATACTTTATTAGTTTAAAAGCGTTATTTATTATAAATGGTTTGAGTTGCAAATAAACAAAAGTTAAAATGGTGATGATGATTGTATATGTGTAGACCACACACACTATAGTTGCAATCCAAGACCGTAAAATCAATCCATCTGCAACAGCCCATCATACCAGAGAGGACCATACAAGAAAATGGAATAATATTAAAATAATGAGATATGATACTTATATGCAAGAAAAGAAAAAAATAATTATTCTACACCACCTAACTCAAAAAAAAAAACTCAGTCAACCTAGCATATACATCAGAAGACTTCGATACCCTCCCAAACCATTCAAAAAGTTGATTCAAACCATAATGGCAGACACTCCAGTCAAGTGCAAAGCAGAAAAAAACTTTCTCAAAGGAAGGCCCATCATCAACTCCAAACTCCTCTCACAAGTAGTCTTTCTCGGGACTTTCCTGAAGATAAAAGTAGATTGAAAGCTAAACTGTAAGGTATACACTAATTAGTATATAATAATGATAATAAACTAAGTAATTAATCATTTGCTTTAAGTGATTGTATATGTTACTACCAATGATAAGTCACTTTTGACTATTGGGGCATTAGGGGTATTAATAAATGATATATACACACCTTACTTACACAAGTATTAGCTAATTTAAAAAGTCTATTTCATGTCTGGATTCTATTTCTACACTAGCCTAACACTAGTTCTACCAACTTTGATGCTGTTAAAGTGAAGATATTAATATTAAAAATATCCGTGTGCTTTTTTGTAACCACACAAATACACATTACTGGCAGTGGCACATAATACACAACACTACAGACTCCGTTTTCTATGAACCTATCTTAGCTTAAACTTTATGCCCAGCATTTCTTACAAGTTACATGGAGACTGAAAAACAAAAACCTTCAGAATAAAACTTTCGTTACTTGTATTTGTGGGTAAAGAAATTCTATCATTTCACTTTTCCTCCTCAATTTAACAATAATGAATAACATGCTTGGTGACAATAAGAGCAAACTTGGTATGTTATTTTCTAATTACACCTTTCAGAGAAATCTTCATAAAAATAAATATTGTTTATTAAGTAGAATAAGGCTTAAACTTTAAATTTTAATACAATAAGCAAGTTTCATGTTTTGATACAAAAATTACATTGGCTAAAAAGAGAAACGTTACATAATCGTGATTATGGATTTTCTTTTCTCATACATAAAATTAAAAACACGATATACACTCAACTATTCATCATGCAACTTCTATATCGTAATATATATATATATATATATATATATATATTATAATACTAATAGTAATACTCAACATCAACCTACGTCAGTAATCGATGTAACTTATGTCATGATATTGATAAACAATGTATATTTACTGGTCGCTTGGTGCAAATAATCTTAAACGAAAATTAACAATATGTTCTCAAGCTAACTAAATTCAACTTTTAAAATCAATACATAAGAAAATTCAGTTTGTGTCAACTTACACTATCAGGATCATAAATCTCAAAAGTCTGGTATTTTATTAAGTAAGTTCACAAAGCTTAACTCTTAATATATGACTCCGAGTATGAAATAATCTCAGTGTCAGTCACATTTGTTAAAAAATAATGCAAATTCGAAAAGTAAACTTGCCTGCCATCTATTGTATGGCATTATCTATGATACATCAAAAGTTTTGAACATTTACGACACTTATTTGATAATAAAATCTAAGTAATATAATTATACATAAATTATTGTTTCCAGGTAAAATGTTTCAAAGTATATTATAATAGATTTTGTTACTAAGAGTGACAGAAGAAGAAGAAACACTAACAATAAAATTGTGGTATTCTCAGATGAAACTGATTGTTCATAAAAGGGAATAAGATAGGCCCGCATATTAACAAGATATTCATCCAAGATATTTTCTACGGAATAATTCTGAATTTTCTGAATCTGACTGAGTTCATGAAAGAAAGATAATCAAAACAAATTTGAAATGTATTGAAAACCATCTATATTTTAACACAAACAACAGGGTATGTATTTAGCACGACGTACAGTCCACTTTACCGAAGAGCTAAAGCCTATTTAGGTTTTGTAATATTGAAAACAGTCTATGATATCTATCTAAGTAGTTGTTACATTTATGTAGAGACTATCCAATGTCGCGTGCAATACATTGTCGTCGAGAATATAGATATTTCTAGCAGGCGGGCAGATGAGTAAGTGATAAACATATAAATAGTGTGAGACAAGAGAAAACAGCAGAAGAGAGTAAAGTCAAGGCCAAGAGAAAGTTAACTACTGTAGAAGTGATAGGCATAACGATTAACATAGGCCTAACGTTTAATATGTTAAGACTAACAGCAGAAAAGGTGTAAAGAATAATAATTTATTCCGCCAAAGCATGGTTCTAGAGTAATTGAATCAGTCTGAGTGCACTTTGACAAAAAACAGACAGAGCAAACGAGAAAACAGAGGACTGGAAGTAGAAGTGCGGCCAAAGAAAATGTTAGAAAACGAAAGTTAACCATCGTAGGAATGGATAGCCTGGTGTTGGTATGTTAAAGTGAGATGAACAATTTTCTGACACTTTAAGAGAAAAATTTATCTCGCCAAAGGGTGTTTTAAAGCAGTTGAACCTGCCTGTGTGGACTATGACAAAAAACAGACGATTATTGGAAATAGGCCTAAACACGAAATGCAGACGAGTATCGAAGTTCAGAATACAACTGCAGTAACTCAACGAGGCAAAGTAAGTGAATTATACATGGAATACTAGAGCAATAGAAATAGAAAAAGGTAGTTCGGCTTGTCAACTGAAATTCTAAAGCAACTGAATAGGCCTAAGTGGACTTTTGACAAAAGGAACAGAGGATATTTAGAAGAAAGAAGACCAAACATTTATCGGTTACTTGTGGCACAATTGTAAGTAAATCACAACACAAAATACTAGTGCTATAGTAATAGAGAAGATAGTTCGGTTTGTCAACTGAAAGTCTAAAGCAACTGAATAGGCCTAAGTGGACTTTTGACAAGAAGAAAAGAACTATATATAGTGTTTATGACATGCCTATAGTCTCTAAAATGTAAAGAATTTGTTGTACATACGTTTAACTTGTTACGAATATATATATTATTTTGAAAACAAGTGGAGTGTGTGCTGTTCATTTATCATTGAATTTATCGCCAACTAGGTCACGGACTGTAGAAAAGTCCTAAGCCCAACAACACAGTATACTGTTACGTCTCTGTTCGTTAGTTAATTTTCTGTAAATTCGTTCCGACGAAACTTTAGCGACACAAGTCCTTTCTTAAGTAAAACTGGTTTATTCTTTCCGAATACAACTTTACGATACACTTAATTTCAACAGTCGCTCTGTAACAAACGCTATAATTCTCAACGAACTTCTCACGTGCTTAACAATATTCTCTCTGATTGCAGTTCAATTACTCATTACCTTGTTATCCCGTCACGTTGTGAACGTCTTATATATACAAGACTAACACATATCTAGTAAATGCTAGGGCATTCTTGAAGGAACAGGATATTTCTAGAAAGAGGTGGCGTGATACTAGTCACGTGACCTCGCTGACGCAACAATATGATACTGAGAATGTGAAGAAAATTTTTTATTCAACTTTATGCCCAATGCAAATTTCTCTTATAATGGGAAGTTTAAATTTCACAAAGTTGCTATCAGGAGAAGGTAATGGTATCAGTTACGCGAGGTGAAATTCGTGCTACAGCTAAGGCATGAAGAAGGTATGACTACACCACAAACAAATACATATATTCAAATTAAACGTATATATCCATGGCAACGTTCCTACAAGCCACGGTTATTTTTTGTTTGTTTGGAATTTCGCGCAAAGCTACACGAGAGCTATCTGCGCTAGCTGTCCCTAATTTAGCAGTGTAAAACTAGA